GTTCAGTTATGCAAGTCTTAAGGTACTGGCCCAATGCAGGCTTGATTTGCTTGCTTCGCGGCGAGAAGTGTCAAAAATTATTTGGAATATACTAAACCGCTACTGCACCGACTCCAAGGTAAGTAGCTACTCTATTAACCCGTGGTAGTGCACATGGTAGTGCAGAGTCGAACCAGTCGTAAGTAGAATAGCGAAAAACCGATGGTGACTACCGCCTAGGACATTGAGTTGTAAAAGTAGTCGATGAAGTACACTGCAAGTAGTCAGTCGGTAATTGACGGTGTTTATAAGGTAGCTACCGATTCAGCAGTCCTGTAGTCACTCCCCCGTACTGCAGGGTGTTTAGAGAACTTGAAACGTCAACCAACTATTTTTTAGCAGTACAGAAATTCATAATATGACTTTATGGTACTTTTCGAACCCCCCTAATATATATTTATGGTTTTTAAAGTTTACGACATACAACAATACGACATTTACGACACTGTTGTGTATATCCCAATTGTTATGTAACCTGCTATACAGGGGGTTTCGTCATCGCTGATTTCGAAATTGATATTACATTCTCAAAATTCAAAATGGCGAATCCAATATGGCTGACAAATTTACAAAAAAAAAAACAAGTAAAGAAGTAGAAGTTCGGGCGAAAACGAATTTTATATACCCGGCGCAGGTATCAGATATCGTTGTTTCAGCTTCCTCTGAACTACTTTTGCATGATAAGTAGGGATGTTTACCCGATTTCAAACGTTTACGATAATATTCAGAGTTAGACTTAATGATAATAATTGAACCTAGTTAGGTCCAATGGATTAATTCAGAGATGGGCAAAGTGGCTCCCAGGAGCCGTTTGCACTTAGGAGTCGGCTTGGCACATTTAGGTGTTAAATGAGGGATAACATCAAGAGCCAGCATGAAGGGGGGAAGAAGAGCGTATTCAAATTTCTTGTACTCTGACTCTCATTAGTAATATACATGATGCTAACTAAGCTAATGAGAACTAATTTAGCGCGTAGCACTTGCTAGCTCTTTGACGGCTTTAAGAGCCAAAAATCTACCCATCCCTGAATTCAGTCGTTACCGAGGTACACCTTTGTAGTTATAAAGTGGGCGGTGCTACGCCCAATTCATAAAAGTCTATAGCAGTCTTATTTATTGTTAGGGGATTTTTGTAACTAGTAACTTGGAGTAAATTAGCGCCCTCATTCAAATATCGAAGTTTTCGTATTTCTGAAATTTACCTTTATACGTGAAGCGGGTGTAATTCGGTTCGGAATCGGTTACCGAGATACACATTTGTGGTCATAAGTGGGCCCATTATCCAAAAGTTTGTAGTATTCTAATTTCATGCTAAGTGGTTATTGCAATCATCGATTTTAAGTGAATTAGCTCCAGTAGTTACTGATTTATCGCAATTTGCGTGTTACTGTTAATTACCGTTATATGACAGGTTGGCGTGCTTATTACCCGATTTCAAAGATTTCTTAGCTAGACCCTACCCAAGCCTCGTACCGAGTTTGGTAGGGATTGGTAAAGCGGCTACTGAGACACAGCGTTTCATCATAATTGGTCCAAACATCTCATAATAATATTATTTTTTACCACAATTCTACTCCACATACTAATTTTCAACAATTTGCATCTAATATTTACAGAAATATCGCCCATTTGGCCCATTTTCAACACCAACCTACCTTGGGTAAAGGGCAACCTACATACCAAATTACGGACAGACGGACAGACAGACATGGCTTAATCGACTTCTCTTTTGATTCTGATTATTTATGAATACATTTGTCCATATCTATCTCAATTCGTTTTGGCTGTTACAAACAACCATTATGCGAACAAAGTTAATATACCATTGTGCACAAGTGCGCTCGGGTATAAATATATGGATTGTAATCAAACTTGATAGCTAGGAACTTTCGAAGCCGCTAATTACGAATTTTAGTATTAGAAATCTAAAATGCATATAATAACAGGAAACAAGAAAATTATTACATGTGTATTTAATTCTAGAGCCGCGTCAAAACTCTTAAACTTAATTCTGAACTCCAGATTAAAATACCGTTTTCCGAAAATCCGTATCACGTAAATATTTTAAGATATTTAGTGTGGCAGTTTAATTAAAAAACTAAAATTTGAACAGGGAAAAAATTAAAAAACCAAAAACATTTGTTTGTAAGTATTTCTCATTTGCATTAAAACCTTTCCTTTACGAAAAAATTAAGCCACTGACGAAGAAAATCGGTGGATATATAAAAATGAAAATGCCCAATATTTTTTTCTGAAATTTGAGCAGGAAAGACTACATATTTACAAGTACATGGAGTACGAGTAACATTTTTGCCATTTTTAACTTTGAAGTTCTATATATTAATACGCTAACGAAATACCATACAAATTCATTCCTCCCTACTGCTCCTATGTTTCTCAACGGATTTAAATGATTGTTCTTTTGTGCGAAATGTGTTTCAAAGAGGAGGTGGACATTTTGTTTGGTTTTCAAATTCAAAATACGTGTTACTAACTAGCTAACTTTGTTTTTGTTTTCACATGAAACATTTTTCGTTAAGCGAACGGAACTCAAACGGCGATCAAGAGAAGAGATCGTGGACCTAACAAACGTCACAAACAAAATGAAAGTGTTTGTAAAAGGGAGGAGGTCGAATTTCGACAACGGGGCGATACTAGTATAATATAAATTTTGTAGTCAGTGACCCCGCAAACCAATGGATACAAGGTTCCATAACCATCTATAATTGTTTAAAAAAGTACGCCAAATTGCATACACCATTTTCAATTTGGAAATTCGTTATCAGTGACTTCGATGCCTTCTCAAGCAGAGAGTGAATGTATACGCCAGGCGGACGCTGCCCAGGGTTGTCCTAGATTCTCGATTAGTCCCGGTATGCGACTTATGAAAATTATGCTTCATATTTTTTCTTTGGCTATATTGAAGAGAAGTAGCTGTACTGTTTGGAACTTTTTTTTTAACTCTAGCCAATATAAAAATTTCAAAATTTTTTTAATAAAAAAGCATTATAAAAAATTATTATTATAACCAGGGAACGGATTTTTAGGACCTAAAAACCTTTAAAAAAAAAGCAAAATTAAATAACGAAATAGGCTAGAAAAGGCAAAATAAAACAGCGAAATAGGCAGGAAAATGCACTAAAAACCGCAAAAAGGGCAAAAAAAAGACAAAAACCGAAAAATAATCAAAATATATACTTATTTTAGAAATCTTTATTTTACAAGTCAAAAGTGAAAAACTATGAACTAGTTTCATTATATGAAAAATTTGTACTTTGAATCTTTGACTATTTTCTCCTTTCGAGTTTGGAGCTCGCAAGGCTTTAGTCTCAATAGTTGTAGTAAAATTGAACCACAGGATGCATTTTAAAAGTATTTTCATTAGATTTTCGCGAAGAAAAGCCTTGAATGTATTAAACGTGCGCTCGACGTGAATTGATACAAGTGGCGCCCATTTTTAAATATGGGACATTTAAAACTGTCGTAATATCAGGATTAAGGGATCTTTCCTTGCTCTTTACAATTTAAGGTAGAAAAATATCTTAAAAAAAGTCAAAAAAAAGGCAACATCAAATGTGTATACATATATGGAATCAGGGAAAACTAAATCGTGGACATTCTTAATCGAATATACTCTGTCTCTTTAGCAGAAAAAAGGCAATTTTCATAAAATCCGTTCCCTGATTAAAACCATTCGATAAACCACTACATTATTAACAAAAATTGCAGTATAAAGTACTTATCTGACGCCTCACTACCCATGTTGACAAAACTGTTATTTATTAAGAAAAATAAAATTGCAAGAGAAATTATTTTATTACCACTTAAAATGCAAAATTTTATTCGAAAGAAAAGTCAACTTTACGCTTATGATAAATCTACTGCGTTGCGTTAAAAGTTTAAATTTCTGTCAATGTTATTGTGGCTTATTATTAAATTGTATTTTTTATTGAGCTTTGTACCAAGATTGTTTATTAGAAAAAATTGAAAAAGCAACAAAGATTTCTGTTGTATTGTGGACTGGTTGTGGCTGTGGATTTTTTTTGTGATAATGTTTAAAAGTTTTAGTTTTCCTATTAATCCGTATTTTTTTTTTGTTTTCAAAGTTATACAAGAAAATAACATATAAAACGATTGCTCAAACAAGTAATTTTTAAGCAAAAAACAAAACCGACTTCAATTGTAAAATCTTAAGATTATCGCTAATTTCTCCATGATCCAATGATTGGATTTAAGCCTGTGAGGTAACACCTTTCCTTTAAAAAAGGAATTATAGAAATCGGTTAACGTGGTCCACAGTTATGTGGTAACATACATAAAAAAAACAAAAAATAATAATATTCCGACGAATTGATAACGTTCTCCTTTTTTGGAGGTCGGTTAAAATACAGTTATCGATTTGTTAAATCTTTATATTAACTTTGTTCGCATAACAACCTCAAATAATAAATAAATAAAATCGATTAAGCCACTCGATTAATATATGAGACATCTCAACGAAATTTTGCACATTGGTTGC